AATTCCCTACGATCTTATATGACACATATGATACAATCTCATATGATACAGCTCTCATATACAAAACTATTCATATTAACATATGAATAATTGCATATTACGTTTTTTGGATTTGTTCACTTCAGTCCGGTTATATTTGCGCCTGACTATTTTGGAAGTTTCACTTCAGAAGTGTTTTCTGAAGTTTCTCTGTGAAACTATGCACTGAACGCATAATTGTAGAAAGTGATTCGGTAAATGCGATAGATATGAGGGAATTTGCAACGCTGTGTTTGAGACAAAAAATGTATACGTGTATAAATCCATTGCTAAGATGGTTTCATCGTCAGACCGATTTGTTGGCGATTATCGCATGCTTCGTCCTATTTCCTTTGAAAGTGATCGTCGTACTTGTCCTCAGGTTTTTCGCAAAAGTTTATATCTACCGAATATTGCCTCTATTTACTAGTTCCTCCATTAAATAATTATTGAGAGTTTCATTCAAAAGTGGTGATTATATTCATATTACTCCATTCGAAATTTGATGAAATTCGAAACTTCTTTGACAAAAAAAAATGCAGAAAAATTGATTATAAGGAATACTTATGCAAAACATATTGAAAAGTACAATTTTCAGGCAAGATATTCAAGAGTTATTCGGCGAAATTGTCTACGCTGGTAATCGACAATTGTACAGGTATAGTTTTCTTGGGGGAAAAATTTCTGGCAATTGCCCGCTTTGATTTTTACAACTTGAAAATTGATAAGTAACACAAGCGTGAAGGATTCAGTGGTCAAAAAGCGATCAAAAAGATGTGATAATTTTTTGAACATCGCAGCAAAATGCAACCACAGAAAGTCCATTTCTTTAAAGTCCATTCAGGCGAAAAATGTTTTTTGTTTGCTCTCAAGAAGAAATGCAAATTGTTTGAAGTGATATCTTTCAGCGTATTTCAATCTATGAATTTAACTTTGAAGGCATTGGGCCGCTGTGGATCCAACGGATGAAGATAGCTCAGGCGGTGATCTGAACTCAGCGCTACAATACAGTATGGACACAATCACAAGTACTACATCGCTGATGAAGCCTCGACGTGTATTTGGTGCCTAATTTAACCTCAATTCGGATGCATTTCAGATTCATTCTATCATTTTTTATGTGAGCCTTCAATTTTGAAAAATCTCTTCGATTGTTGATCAAAGGGCCGGAATCAAAGTTGTGACTCGTCACTTATGAAGCATTGGTTGAAACAATCATTTGGTTACTGTTAATTGAAACAGAATGTGTAAATGAATGTTAATCAGTGCAAGATTGTATATGTGAATTATATGTTAATACGAATATATGTGGTGAGTAGAAATCGTGCCTCGACTTGAAAGCAGAGGCCAGCAATCTATGATTCGTGAGTTGATTTCCTTCAGTTAGCAATTTTTTGAGGAATTCATCCAGTCATATCCTGTCAATCACTCACGTTCTATCAGTTTTTTCTGCAAAATCCCAACCAATCCATCAAAATCTTCTATCATTCGCGTTAAAAGCTCTGTTCTACAATTTTTGAGTGATATCCACTGTCTTATGAGGCCGTCCTCTAGTGTCTGAGAACAACGAACATTTCTAAGTTACATTTTTGAGTTGGTCGAGTCTTGGTCGACCTCTGCTTTTAAGTGATTAGCAGATTAGTGATTGATTCGTGTTAGTGATAATTGCTAAAGTACGCACCCTCACGTCAACATTTGTTATTGCCTCGAAATCGAGTATTGATGCACCGATAACAACCTGAAATCTAGTGGTACTCTTAAGATTTATTCATTTATTCACTCATGCTGTTTTGTGCTTAATTAACTTATGCTTGTACAATGTCTTCATCGGACTGATCAGAATCGAAAACGCAAAATTTATCGATATTATAAGAAGATCGAACACGGACGACAAACACCTTTAGCAACATCACCATGTACAAATAGTAAAGAATTTGATCACAGTATATCGTACAAATTATCAGAGATTATTATGTCAAGTTCAAATGCTACAACATTAACTTTTCAATTTTGGTGATGCTTAGTTTATAAACAAACGGAAAACATTTCAGCTGTTGTTCTGAGATATTATCGCTGCTCTATTACAGAATCAGAAATTTTTCTACTGCATCTATCATAATGGCAGAATGGAATTCTCGCAAATCACTCGACTATTTTGATGTTCAGGATGAATCTCCCTAAAACCAGATAATTTTCAACTACTTTCAGGAAAATCATAAGAATAGTTGTAGATGTATTTCGCAGTGATAACTGTTCTTGAGATAGAAAATGAAGAAAGCTGAAGGAAGTATCATACAACTGAAGGTTTCTTCTTATCGGACTCTGCTGAGGTGCTTTGTTTGTGCTTCGTTTCCAACAGTTTGGTTCGTTTAGCGAGCACATTTGCCAGTTTTGATGCGATATGAGCGTTGTTCTCGAGTAATGCTATATCTGAAAGTTGACCGAAATTATATTCAATGCAATAATAACTGATAATTGGATAGTAGATACAAGCCGGATCATAGCCTGGCTCAGGCTCACAACATTTATGATATTGGTGGTACACCACTTGGTTTCCAGTAAAATTTTCCTCCGCGAACGGCAATGTTTTAGTCGAAACCGAGTGGCTTACTAATATCATTAATATATCCAGTTGTATTTTCGAATGAACACTATATTATTGTTCACATGAAGCTGGCGCTATTGATTAGGGTAAATTAGAATGTGACATGCGATTTTGAAGAATCAGTGATACTTTTATTCACAATCATCAACAAGCATGGTTCTTTTTGCTTTTGCTTTGTTTTCTTTGAGTTGAATGCAGGCACAGAAGTAGAAATTTGTTGACGATTCGGGATTTTTTATCAGCGAATATTCAAAAAGCTCATTAAAACATACTTGTTTTAGCGGAAGCTCCACCAGTGAGTTCGTTGACTCGTTTCATCAGAAATGGTGTGACATTTTTCGAGTCCACTCCAACTTCTCTGAAACGAATTATTTCGATGAAAGCTACAATTGACGTTTCAACTGATTTCACACACTTGCGCGAATTCAGATTAATTTAAACGAATTTAAAACGTTATAATGAAGGGTATTTCTTAGTGGGCATGCTACAAAAAACACTGATTTCATCATCAGTCTGCAAAGAACTATATATCCTAAGAAGCTGCAACCAAGATGGAAAAGTTTCTAGTTTATGAGCATAGAGATTACCTGCTCTCCATAAGTGCAGCTTCAATGGCTTCATTTATCAGTTTTCCTTCAGCTTCATGCTCAGCAGGGATTGGGCACGCAATTACTGTAGCACTTGGCAGTCCCATATCACGGCTACAATCTGTAATCATGCAACAATGAGTTCTACTTATCACAAGAATTCAAGAAAGAACGAAAATTTGTTTGAGTTTTGTTTTCAAACACTGATCGATAGAATGCGAAAACTGTTGCCTAAACTTATCGTGAGATAATCTCGAAAACGCACTTATAATGTCAGCAATTTCTTCGAGCGATTGTGTATATGTGTGTGCCTTCCAAATAGTTTCAGCCGTGAAGAAACCCGGAAAATTGATCGTTTTTCCATAGACGATTACCTCGACACTGTTCGATTCCTTTAAAACAGCAACAGAATTAATGATGTGGGACTCTGCATTCCTTTGAAATAAATTCATGAAGCTGAAGGAAAAGTTCAGTTGAAACGCTTTGCTTTGCTTTTGCACGTGAAATATTTGATCATTCACACGGAGTTTTGTGAGCAAAGAGGAGATGATATATAGAAATGAGGAATGAAATCACTTATTGAACATAAAACAACAAATGTGATTGGCAGTTAATGAATGAAGAAGATCACTGAACGGAGAATAATAAGAAAACGACGATTGTGCAAATGATTACCAAATACTCAAGAGTTTTTGGAACATCTAGAATTGATTTAACGCCCGCACACACGACAGCAACTGGTGTTGTCGCTAATTCCAATAAATCAGCGCTGATGTCGAATGCTGAAAGTGAAACGTTCATGGCATTTGATTAATCGCTTTCGGATTCACATGATTGATCATTTCAGGTTACAGAACCACTTTTTTCGGTTCATTCGTTAATGATCCGTTTCGTGATTCTTTATGACTGGAGGAACTTTTTTGACTTTGAAATTGAAGTGTACATTGTGTTCTGAATGATGTTTTCCCATAATGTAAAGCTGAAAATGATTGCCTGTGATTTTCAAGCTTATTCCACCAGAGTATTAAGTAATGTATGAGGAAATAAATATGTGGTAAATGAACGTTGAGTGCGATCAATGGGTTGATCACCATAAAAATTGATTAGAAACGAACATTCCGTCACTCCCCTGTGTACTCCCCCTAAACCACCAGTTGCAAATACTCGTATGCCGACCGCATCTGCTAAATACATCGTTGCGGCTACTGTGGTTCCGCCGACGAATTTCTGAAATTACGCTGATTCATACCATTGGGTTTCTGGTTAGTTCAGAGAAATAGCAGGCGTTATTAAATTGATATGCAATAAGTCGAAGATGAATAGGGGAATCATTGTTATGAGTTGAACTGATCATAATGATAACAACAACGACTGACATTAATAAGGCAATATGGAATATCCCGTCGTGAAACTTTGATTGAATCAAAATCATTTGCGATACGTTCCAGTTGGTTATCATCTAAACCAATGTGCACTTTGCCATCAAATAACCCTATTGTTGCTGGAGTGGCTCCGTAAGATCGGACGATCTTCTCGAGATTACGTGCGAGTCTGAGAAAAAGTCGAACTATCAACTGGTCAAAACAAGAGCAGTAATAATCAGTAAGGTACTAATAATTGTTATCACTGATTAAAGTAATAAGAAGAGAAGGTTGCGATGAATTAAAATGCTTCATCTAGCTGCTGCTAATTGGAAATATTTTGAAGAACAGCGAAATGAGCACGTCTCTGTCAAAATGCGTAAAACTTTCAAGAACAATTAACCGAGCCCTATCAAACGATTAAGAGGAATGTAACCCTATCAATTCTTTTCGTTTCAATCGGAATTTCTCTTTTAAAGAGATGCTCGAGATGAATTCATTGCAAAACTCAAAAAATCCATTTAGGCAAATAATTTAAGACATACTCGAGATTCTGTGGCCTTGGAAGACCATGCGTGATCACCGTGCTTTCGAGAGCAACAACGCCATGACCAGCATTCAACGCCTCGGAAACTTCTTCGGATATGCACAATCGACTTGCTGGTAACGATGCGACTCGTCTCGCAACACAACGTACTGTACTCAAAAACATATCACCGACCACTCTTCACAAGAGTACACAAAACCAGTTGTTGGTGAGAAATTACTGAAATGCCTTCAAATCGTATTCGAAACTTCGAATTATACAGCATTAACAACGAAGAAAGAAACGCGATGATTTGTCAATGCGCAGCAGCAATTCCTTTCTTCAATGCACCCTTTATGTGATTATTTAGTGAATCACTTTATAGGTTGATTTCTTCATAGCTCCTTGAGTGAGTGAGTGCTTTCTTTTTTGATCATGCAATGCCACAACAGATGTTTTTGTATGGCAGCTGCTAGTGAGCACATATTCCCAGCACTAAGAACACTAGTTGCGTAAGTGAAAAACTCGCTCACATCGTGAAAAATACCTACGCCATAGAAAAAAACCAAAGATTTTTTAGTATCGTTGGGTTCTTCGGCTAACGCAGCACAAGCAAGAAAAAATATCACGTTTGATAAGTTCGACGTAAGTGAAGGTTTAAGAAATGTGCTTGTAATGAGTTTCAACTGTTGTCGAATGCATTAACTAAGTGGTTTTGAATAATTGCTATAAATATTG